TTCTCTTCAGGGATGTCTTGCAGGAAGTGAGCCTTGCAGCTGAAGCAGGGAACCGGCTAAGGCAGCTGCACCCTGGTCTGACCATCAGAAAGCAAGAGACCCGAGAACTAGAAAGGCGAGGCTCACTGAGCCATTTATCCCTCCGCCCTTCAATGAACTCCACATGTGTTTATCAGCCAGGTTGGCACAATAAACTAACTACCTCAGCTACCAAAATGCCACCCTCTGTGTGAACAGACGTCCTCTCTGACCTGCTAACCAGACCACAGGTCAGGGCCGAGAGGACATGACACCTGTCCTGCCCCAACAATGTACGGCGGAGGAAACCAAAAACAGGAATGAAGAGCTCTTGGAAGGAAAACTCTGAACAGAGCCCATCTGGTGTCCCTCAGCCAACACAGGAGCAATTGTGAGGTCAGCACAGGACTGGGTAGTGTGTCCTTTTGTTGCACTCAGTGTTGCTATGAGCCTGAACCAACTCACTCTGCTGTGTATGAGGTCGCTATGAGTCTGCTCAATTGCGTATGAGGTCGTTATGATTGTCTCAGTTGTGGCCCTTGGCCTCTACCCCAAAGGCCAGTAGTTCAAGCCCACCAGTAGGAGAAACATGGAAGTTGGCTTCCCATGGGGCAGTTCTACCCTGCCCTGTAGGGTCACTATGGGCCAGAATCGACTCGCCGGCAATGGACTTGTCACCAGCAGCAGCTCCATGTGCAGACACCTATCCGTATGTACTTTCAAGGACATGGCACACAGACCCTGTTCTAGCCAACACCCACACAAGGGCGCTGCAGAGTTCAATTGAGGACTATCTTGTAATAGAAAATATTAAGCAATTTAAGTTTACTGTGGGAACAGAAATATCTGTTACCACCTTTGCCAGCTTATATTCTGTGTGTGTGTGTGTGTTCCTGTGGCAGTTACATAATCTCCTGTCAACTTGTGAAGGGGTGGAGTCTGGACTGTCAATCAGGATATAGCCAATGAGGCCTCTCTGTGGGCATGGCTTTCTCCCGAGGATTCTGGGAACCTCTGTATTTCCTCCTTGGAGGTGGGAGATACTCTTTCTCTCTGCTCGCTCCCTGGGAGATATTTCTGTGGAGAAGACATGTGGAGAGAGGCTGATGGAGTCAGACCTCTGGAGCTGGAGGAGCCAGGTGGAGACCCCTGCCAGCGCTGAGATGCTTCTGCCGCCACTGGATCCACAAGACTTCCCACCCACTGGCCTGCGATCTGCCTGCATTTGGCATCATCGGATAGGTTTCGTGAGTCAGAAGAGGATTTTATAGATCGGTATCGGACATTTGGGCCAATATCAGACTTATGGATTTGATCTGGACTGGCTGGGATGTTTTCTCCATATTCAACTGCTCTTGTATCTAAAGCTCTTTCTTCTACACACACGAGTCTCCCTGGACTTGTTTCTCTGGTCCACCTGGACTGACCGCAGAGGCGTTTCCTCACCCTTGTCTTGCTCTTCTGTCTCTGTTGCTGCCCTTCACGTCTGTGCTTCCGAAGCAGCACGTGTTTGTAAGGTGGACCTTCCTTGTCGATACGCTTGGCTGTTTTCCCTTCCTTGTCCGTCTCCTGTGCATGGTCTCAAGTCTGTCTTCCGTGCATGGACGTGAAGCCCTGCTCTTCACCGCTCATCTTCATTCAGACGCTCAACTTCCGGCCCGTTCTCTGCCTCAAGCTGCTGTGTCCTCCTGACACCCACCCTCTCAGAGCCTGTGGGTGACGTCGTGACGTGCCATCGAATCCATTCCTCCTGTGACAGAGGA